TTCTCTAGACCAATCGCGACATGAGAGTCTTATCGATCGTTCTAGAACCCAAACATAATAATAAAAAGTATTCATTGGGCAAACAAAATAATAATTTGATCTAAGTAACAGTTTTTTCTTTCTTCCCAATTTGTGAAAAGTCCTTACATGATAGAAAATTATGAATATTATTATTGAAATCTGCATAGCTGAATTATGTAAAATCCATTATTAAAACCGAAACTACTTTTATGAAGTTTAAATTTGCAGGACTGTGTTATATTATTATTGATGTAATTTGTAAATTTAGTACTAAAAATATGAAGTTCTTAAAAAAACTGTTATTCTTTCAATAAAGCACACCACTTTTAAAATATATAAAAATATTACAGTTTATATCAGCACAATCGGAACACTTTTCCTGTGTAGTACTTCCCAGAAAAGTCATTTTTTTGGAAAATTTTCACTTTTTCTAGATTTTTTTCAATGAGGTATGAATACTACAATTAGTATTACTAGCAGAAACACCACCCTTGTCTGAGATTAGTCAGTGGTTCTCAATCTGTGGTCCACAGGCTCCTTTCAGATGGACCATGGAAAGACTGCATAATTATGAAAAGGAAGTGACAGTATAATGTATAGATACCAATATGGTCCACCAAGATAATAAAAAAATTCCAGGTAGTCCATGAATAAAGAAGTTTGAGAACCACTGGTCTAGAATAGAAAGAAGTCGACTCCAACAATTTCAAATACTTTATATCAACTTCATGTAGGACAATAAAAAACACCTAAAATAACTCTTATTCTGTTATCATACCAATATACAACTTCATCGTATAAGTAACTGTTTGAAGCATACACTGATAATTACAGTAATGTTTACACTTAACAGTTATGAAAAAAAAAGGCAATGCTCACAGTATTTGAATTTGTATAATATATGGAAGTTTAAGCCTGTAATAGATAAATAGGCAAATATCAGAAGACTAATAAATTTGGGAAGAAAAATACATACAGACGATATATTTATTAAATAAGATAATTGATAAACTCAGTAGAACACGTCAAAGTGTGCATTACATGCCTTTTACAGTGTTACATTTCAAATTTAATAAAACAACTTTAATATTAATGCACACCAATAACATTGGCATGAAATCATAGTTTATAATTCAAATTTTTATATAACCTACATTTTAACTTCTTAAATTTAAAAACAAGTATTTACAAGACTTCAAACTTCATTTTTCTGTGTCACATGATGCATCTGAGCTCCAAATTCTCCACTTTACAGTTATCTAACTGCTAAAATAGACTGCTGTAGTTTCCAACCAATTAAAAACATAAGCTATGTAAAACTACAAGCAACAATTTAAAATTTGAGCCACATACCTTCTTATTCACCGAGATATCAATAAATCTGTCAAAGCCACCAGAGAAGCCCCTCCCCTATCTCTCTCTGACTTATGAGATTGCTAATCAATTGTATATAAATGATGGACATGTCTATAACTACCAAAAAATCAGGTTCTCCTCTATATAAAGCTTACAATTGTCCTTTTGAATTCAGTGGAGAAGATACTCACTTGATAGAAATTCATGGTTTTGCTGCTCTGAACAGATAATGGAATTTTTTAAATCTATTTATTGCTTACTTAGAAAGTCAGATAAGTTATAGTAGTTTTGGGACAACATTCTATTCTAGTACCCCATATATTTTTGTGTTCTAAAATGCATATTTGAAAGCTATATATTTTTGTTTTGGACACCCAAATTTGTGTCTGTTTGTTGTGAGCATGAAACTACATAATAGCTATCTGTATTGTACCCACCACAGGTACCTAAACCCAGTTTTTAGCATTATAAGTTCATTTTTTTTTATTATATTTTTTTATTTATTGTATCAGTGAAATAAAATGTCAGATTATAACTACCTGAAGTGCCCATGCAAAACTGACACTAGATCACATTAGCTTTACAGGAAACAGCTAATGGGCTCCTGGTGTGATTTATTGCTTTTTATGGAATTATTACTATACCACTAGTATCAGTACCGCAACAGATATGGAAAAGACTAACAGTTGAAGTTTTAAGTAATTTGGAACCTTCTGATGAATATTGCTGTCAGTGCAGAGGAAAATTGCATTACTATTTCAATGTTATATTTTAATCTTTTCATTTCACTGCACATTGATGATTTCTGTATGGTTAGTGTTAGTTTAGATAAGATAAAACAAATAATTTTACTGAAAAAACTTTTGATATTCATTTAGGAGGTTTTAGAGGTTATTGCTAATGAAATATAAAACCTGTAAAATGAAAGAAAGTATTTTTATTCTCAGCATGAAAAGAACTTTTCCTCAGACAAACTAAGTATATGCTTTGGAAAATTACAAGCAAATTTTTAATAAAAATGTTTCATTAAAATATCTGTTGATTTTTTTGCATACAACAGACCTGTAATGTTTAATAAAACCTTGCCAAATTTCATGATGATACACTTAGTAAATTCAGTTACAGTATGTATAGTTTCACAATTCTAAAGTTGGTCAAATCGACCAATAATACTGTTTTTCATTATTAGGTTGTAGATATGTAAAATACAGATTCTACAAAAAAAATAATAAGACCTACTCCTTCTACCATTCTTCCTCCTGGAAATATCCTGTCCATACAACAAGCTACATGGGAGGCATAAGGGAAAAGATCTTGTTCCACTAAAGAATGTGATATGGAGGCCACTTTTACACTAAGATAAGAGAAAAAAAACAAAGTGTTACAATTTTTTGTTAACTTAATCGTGTTGTACTAAATGCTTAAAAAGTACATTTGAGTACTTACATTTTAGTACTCTGTTAATTGCATCTCATCTAAATTAAAGCCATATTTCATACATAACAGATACATTTCAATACCTATGATGCCCAAAAAAAAAAGCTTATAATGTTATAACAGTAACAGACATTCCTTTGATCAGTGTTTAATACACATATTTCACTAAAACTAATACAATCCTTCCACTTTTTCTTAATATGTTTCCTTTATCACTATCAGTTTCTCAATGTAACAAAATCAGGATTGTCAATCATTTGAGAAAGTGTACATGAAAAAACAACACCTGTTGAAATCTATGAAGAGCTTCATGATTGTTAGAAGCCAACTGTCACTAGTGTTTTTTCTTAACAAAAGTTATAAGTAAATAGTATGAGAGAAACTTAATTATAATTTATCAGTATTAAGTTTGACAATAAAAATACTTTAACTGTAAGCATATTATATCTTTAAAACACTATTAATACTGTCCTAAATAATGAAGCTAGCTGATTTTAGCTACACAATTCCCAATTCAAATAATTAGCATCTGCAACTAATTTTGTTTAGAATCCTGCTAAGAAAAACCTGCTTGAATGTATTCCATTCAGATATTGTACATGACTCATTTTAATAATTGATAATTTTATAGGTATGCTTTACAAAAAAAAATATAAAAAATTTAAACATAAGTAACAATCATTCAACCTAACTTCAAAAAAGTAAAAGTCTTTCCCATTTTTCTGTTCATGTATTTATTGAATTTATTTCTCACCATATAGATTTGATGTAGGTAACTTTTAAAAATTAATTAATTTATACCATATTTGATTTTTCTTGTATTTAACTGTATATTATTTTTATACAAAAATTATTTCCCTTAGATTTAGTGCTTTATTTTAGATCTTCAATTTTTTTGAAGGAGTAAAGATTGAAAATAATTGTTCATATAGCTCATATATATATATATGTACTATCCACTATAGCTAATTATCCAAATGTGTTATTGAAACAGATTAAAGATGTAGATGAACTATTCAAAATGACAAGTTGGAAACTTATTTTCTTTGAGGACTAACTATGAAAAGTACCATATTTATTCATGGTTGAAAAATAAAACTTCATAATTTATTGGAGATATACAAACAAACAAGCTCTAACAAATTATTTGATGTTCTTCAGATGTTCAACATAACAAGTTATTGACTTTCATTTCTTTCATTAAATATGTATCGAAATAATCACAACTCAAACTACAAAAAACATCATCTCAAAAACTATTACTCTTTACCTCGAATCTAAACTCAGGTAATGTTTAACTCTAAATCTGTAACTAACTCACTCCCAATCACATATAACCTAACTATTTATTCCTAAAATTTTATGGTTACATTTTCAGTAAATCAATCTGGAAATACCATAGATGGTTATTAAAGTACTATAAATTTCAATATTTTACCAAAACATTTAAAAGAATATTCAACAAGTATTGAATTACAGTTAAAATATATTTTAAATTTATAAAAAAATTTCTTTGAGTTGGTGGCTTTTGTTCTGCTCATGAAAGCACGACCTGGAATCTAAATACCCTTGGTAATGAGTACAACATCAAACCCAACAACAAAACCCACAGGCTGCCCACACATCCATTACAGGTAGTGCAGTCGACAGGTTATTTGGGGCAGACCAACAAATGGTTATGAGGAATAAAGAAAAGAGTAGAATAAGATAAAGACACTCAACATGATACTACCACAAATTCACCATTTATTGTAGCATAAAGGTGAGTCAGTTAGAGTATTTGGAAACAAATTCAGGAACTAGGAAACAGACTCCGCAGAGCATATATACATCTGAATGAATTAATGATACAAGATACTCTGAAGTCTAACTATGAGTGAGGTCTGATTAGTAACATAACTACATGCAATGCAAACAAAGCAACATGCCTGATGCAACTTTGTTAGGTTTAATTGAAGTGGCTACTAGAGAAGAACTAAGAGAAAGACAAATTTACCGATCTCAGCATTCTGCTATAAATACAGTAAGTAATAGCAGGAATGATAAAACAAGCTGGCAAAACAAAAACCAGAGTAAGCACAAAGGTTCGAACTGTTTTAACAGTAGCAAGGTAGGACATATAACAAAAAACTGTTATCAGAAAAAGAATGAGCTTCCTTTAATTGTGGATTGAAAAGCCACACAGCAGAAAATTGTAGATGCCTGCCAAAAACAGAGAATAAAATACCATCTGTCTCTAAATCTATCTGCTTCTAGATGTTAAATGAGTGTTCAAGTTCTAAATTTTTCATTCTTAATTGAACCTAATATTTTCCTAATATTTAAGAGGATGCTCTATTATAGACATTGATACACTTTTGGATATTTCTTTCCAAGCATTAGTTAATAATGTCAGATTTTTCTTTACTAAATCTACACATAGCAAAAAAGATCGAGCTCATGTGTCAGCTAATAGTCAACATTTTATACACGCTATTTGAATTACAACTACTGGTTTAATTTCGTGGACACTTTTAATACTCAATTTTTTATTCCAAACTGCTGGAAGCACTTCTAATTTCGTTTCATAATTCCAGCTGAAATTACATTTTTTGAGTCTCAAGCAATCGCTGAGTTTCCATTATTATTTTTTGTAAACCTTCCTCTGAAAGTTCCAGGCTTTGGGACTTTTGGGGGGCAAGACTTTTTATGAGATTACAACACTGAAATATCTCTTACCAGAGGTAAACTGTGCATAGAAATGGAGAACTTAAGTTTTGAAGAAGTTGAACCTTCAGACTTATGTGCTAAAGTTATGACAACTGGTACCTTCTTGCTGACTAAAGCTAAAAGTCAGACACCAAACGCTAGCATTAGCAAAGCTGAGGATTACCTGTCAATGCATAAAAGCTCTGATACTCCTAAATGCAGTGATACATAACAGAGTTGGCTGGTAAGAATAAAAAGTGTTTAAAGAGAAATCAAGTTAAAGAAAATAGAAAGAAAAGCCCTAAGCCTAGCAAAGACATTAGTAGCAACAGTAATAATAATAATAACAATAATTTCGAGAATACTAAGGAGAAAGTTAGTGGAATTAAAGTAAGGCAAAGTAAGATTAAGAAATTTAAGCAGGGAAACTGTACGTCAGAGCCTCAGATGACTCTACACTTACACATGTAACAGAGCATCCCAATAGGAGAATCTGATAAAAAGAGTACCCGTAAGATTAGTTAATATAACAGAAGTGCCTGCCTGAAGTCAATTCATTATTGAAGCTAAAGTAGAAGAAGCAAAATGAAGAAGTATTAACCGAACCTGTAGAAATAGAAGAAGCACAAGTTTGCATAGCTGTTTGTATCAGTAAAGTGTCTGAGAGAGACACACACACCATGCCAATTAAACTTTTAGACATAAATAGGAAAAAAATAATATTACCTAAGTGCCTAGTGGTAGGTAAGGCTAGCAGTAAAGAGAAAATAGTCACTGTAGAACAGCATAACAGAGAATTTAACCAGAATGAGGCATCACACAGTCAAATAGATTGGAACTGTATCTTAGATGTAGGAGAGAAATATAAACAGAAGTTAATAAGGTTGCTAGACGAATATTGAGATATATTCGAAGGAAAGGGTGATTCTAATGGATGTATAAATAAAGTTAAACATAAGATTGTGTTATGTGACAGTAAACCTATAGCATAAAGACACTATAGAGTGCCAGAGAAGTACATTGTAGAACTAAAGGAATATGTGAAGGAAATGCTTGAACAAGGTGTAATAGAAGATAGTAGTAGTCTGTATGCATCTCCAGTTGTATTAGTTCCTAAAAAGGATGGCAGTTTAAAGTTCTGTATGGATTTTAGGAAGGTGAACAGTGTAACAGTCAAAGACATCTATCAGTTACCTAATATCCAAGAAACACTAGATATGTTAGATAAAAGGAAGTATTTTTCATCCATGGACCTTCAATACGAATATTGGCAAGTAGAGATTGTGTAAAAAGACAAAGCTAAAACTGCATTTATACTGCCTTCAGGTTAGTACCAATTTAATAGAATGGCATTAGGTTTATTTAATGCTCATTCAACATTTCAATGATTAATGGATGTTGTACTATCTGGTTTACAAGATTCAGAATGATTTTGTTACTTAGATGATGTCAGAACCTTTTCCATGAGTTTTGAAGAACATTTGGAAAAATTAAGACATACCTTCGACAGGTTACGCAAAGCAAATTTAAAGCTAAAGCTTAGTAAATGCTAGTTTCTATGAAAAGAAGTAGAGTATTTAATCACATAGTAACCACAGAAGGTGTAAAACCTGACCCGAAGAAACTAGAAGTTTGTAAAAATTATACGGTACAAAAATGGTAAAAGATATATGTGCATTTTTAGGATTCATAGGATTTTATAGAAGACTTATCCCACATTTTGTAAGTCAAGCAAGATGTAAGAAAGATGTAACATTTCGATGGACAAATAAAAGACAAGAAGCATTTGAAATGCTACAAGACTCACTACTAAAGGCACCAATTTTAAGCTACCCAAACTTTACTAACACATAAATAATGAAATCTGACATTATTGAAATCATAATTTTGCAGTAACAGTGATCATCTAGCTAATCTAGATGATGGGACCTTTAATGTCATTAGCCATCTGTGATTATGATAAATGTTCTACCATACAAATAACATCTGAAGGTTTTACTACCATGCACTACAGCTAAACATTCTTGTTTGTTTACTAGTAGTAATTCATTTCAGCTTTTCCTAGCTGTCTACTCTGATAAGTCATTGTGTGTTCCTTTCCTAGTGTTTTAACAGAATGTCCTGTTATAAATGTTAATACACTTTTAAATATTTCTTTCCAAGCGTTAGTTCACATAATTATCATCAATTTCTGATTTTAATTCTGAAATATTATTAATTACTTGTTTTTCATTGTTTTCTAAGTTATCAATTTTAATTTTGCTTAAGGCATCCACAATCGAATGTTTTGTACCCAGTTTGTGTATAACATTATATTCTGGGATTTAGGTCAAGTTATTAGTGAACAGAAGAAAAATGTGATGGTAAACGCCATCAGAAATAAAGTATTACAGGGAGAAAATACAGAATACAAGTTAGATAAAGCAGTGTTATGCAGGAAAATAGCAGAAAAAGAGCATATAGATAAGACATTACATATAGTCATACCTCACAGTTTAAAGTATAAGGTTACAAAACTTATCACGATACTCCATTTTCAGCTCACTTAGCATTTACGAAAACTTACAGTAAAATTAATAAATGCTTTTTTGGATGAATATAAGAAATGAGATTAGAAATTACTGTGAGTCATGTTTAGAATGACAAAAACGAAAAAGTAGTCTATACCTAAAGAATGCTCCTTTACAAAGGATGCCTAGTTTAACCACACCTTTCCAACTAGTGGCTATGTATATTTTAGGTCCATTGCCTACATCTTATGCAGGAAATAAATATATTCTACTCATTGCTGACTATTTAACTAGATTTCCAGGAGCAATCTGTTTACCAGATAAAAAAGCAGAAACAATTGCTAAGTCATTTGTGAATGAAATTGTGGCTAGGCATGGCATACCACAATATCTATCAACAGATCGATGTACAAACTTCATTTCTAAGCTAAAGAAAGAAATCTGTAATACATTAGGTACACAGAAAATTGAAACCACTGCTTATCACTCAAGTGTTAACGGTCTAGTTGAGAGAGTTAACAGAATTCTATTAGATATGATCTCTCAGTATTGTTAACAAGATCAGAAAACTTGGGATGAGCTACCTTGCTACTATTAGCTTATAGAAGTGCTGAGAACGATTCTACACAAGAAAGTCCTTTTTTCTGTTACATGGTAAAGGTGTAATGCTAGCTATGCAAGAGATATTAGCCCCCAGAAAAATTAAATATGCAATAAATGAAGACTACAAAGCTGAAATGATGCAGAGTATGCAAACAGCTTTTGAAATAGCCAATGAACATTTGACTAAAGCTACCGAACATCGAGAAAAAACAGGTAAATAAGAAAGGCACAGGCCAGTGAAATAAAATTAGGTGACAAAGTTTTACTATACACACCTAAGGTTCAGAAAGGAAATACAAAAAAAAACTAGCAAAACTATGGAGAAGACAATTTCGTGGTAATTAAACAAACAAGTCCAGTTAACTTCGAGATTCAAGAAATATATGGCAAATGTAAAAAACTAGTACATGTTAACAGGTATAGGCTAGTAAAGAATTCCCAACCATATCAGTATGAACAATTAACATATGAATCTGAAGTAAAGAAACAAGGTAAGGACTTACAAAAAGAAACTGAAGACACCAGTGAGACTAAAATAACCCCTGATGATGATAAAATCATGGAGGTGGAAGAACCTATACTAGAAGAAGAGGATACTATGTTAGATCATGAAGCCGTAACTGCTGAAGATATTCAAGTGAGTGACCTGGGTGATGAGAGTAGTACACCAAAACAAGAAGATGTACCAAGTAAACCAGTAAGAACGCAACCCGATATAGTGACCCATGGTTACAACCTACAGTCATGAGGCCCAATAGCAGATCAACCAGAAATAACCCTTACACCCAGGTAAAGGGCAGTAAGAATTGACCCTTGAGTTATTACACATGAAAGTAATTAACAATGACTCTGCTGATAGTGTCCTCTGAACTAAAAACCTCAATGGCTCGCAGGCAAAGAGGAGAAAGCTGGTCTCGACTGAAATGTGAGTTGAAAAAAACAACCCCAAAAGAACAAGATAATGAGTGGAGTGAATAACGGACTTCTCCATCTAGATAATCCAAACCACCCGATCAGCTTCTCTGATGAGAAGTGGGGTAAGTGTGGAAGACTCTGCAAAGTATGGAGCCAGAAGAAGCCAGACGTCCATATAAAGATGGAAATTGAGCTCGCAAAAATGTAGGAATTAGGCAAATGACTGGACCACCCAACAGAAAGAGTAGGAAGAGCTTGGAATTGATAAACGTGATCCTCATGGACAAAACATAGATAAGCACGTGAAGTCCAAGCAATTGAGATATGAAGATAAGTGTCAGATACGTTGAATTTCATGATCCAAAGCCCTGAAAAAAATGGTTCTTCTAAGAGAGAGGTAGGATTCCATGTTGAGGAAGCAATTCAGATGGGAGGGATTGAAAACAGGATGCCAAAACTTAGACTTCTTGGGGATAACAAAAAGTCAGGAATATAATCCTGGAATCACAGGAGAAACCTGTTTGATGGTGCCCTTGATGAGAAGGTCTAGGTGCTTTAACAGGTTGAGAACATGCCTGCACATCAAAGGAAGGGGAGGGGGAGAAGCTGTCCAAGTTTCCATTCCTCAGCCCACATGAAAGAAGCTAACACTTCCTCTGTTGATAATGGTGCACCTGCAGCTACTGTCATGAGCTATTGAATGCTGGTACCATTGACAGCTATTGTAATCGTAATATTAAATTGTGAATTGAAAAATATTGACTGACTACTGGTAATGGAGTGAGAAACAGAATTCACAATTAAATAAAAAAATCCAACTCTACAGTGGGTTATAAACAATATTTTGAATATTTTCAAAATGCACTAAAAAAAAATATTTTGTTTTTAAACCAAGCACTTGGTCTTAACACTTTTGTGCCAAATTGATAAGTGAAGATTGGGTTCAACTACATAGAGGGAGTCAGCTGCAATAGGATGATTTGTCGCACTCCTATTGATGGAGGATTGTTGAATGCTAATTTGCATGCTTAAGTTCAGCTGAACCATGTGGTATACACGTGGAATTAGACTAGTGGTGAGGAAAATTTGTGCACTAGTGGGTAGTCAAATCAAGAATAGCTGTAATTGTGAGATGAGGAAGGTAATCATATCAGAATTTTGGTCATGTGGTAATTCAAAGGCAAACTAATCTCCACAACAACTAGAGATTTGAGAACCTAGCACACAAAATAGCAGACATAGTGTACAATGTATATTGACTGCATTACTCAAAAGCCCTAAGCATCAGCTAGTCACATTCTATAACCTATGGTTGTAAGTGAAGTTTAGGCTATATGATGTTAATGATACAGAAGTCAGAAAATGTGATCACCCACACAAATCAGTATTTGACTTAATTACTTCACTCTACTTTCTCTACTTCTGTAAAGATTGTCATGAGTTATTACTCAAAGTCTCACTTTTGTTTTTCAAATTTTGACAATAATTTGTATTGGTTATAACACAACAGGAACAGCTGGCTTCTGAAAAGGCTAATTTGTACCTCATGTATCTTCCCCTATTTTCAGTATCTGTAGCTCACATGTTGGAAAAGGATATTTTAAATAAGTAAGAAGTTTGATCATAAAGATAAAACTTTTTTTATCAGAAGAACAAGGTTTTTAACCACAAAAAAATTTCTTAGTTTCTAATAATAGTTTTAAGTTGTAAACTGTTAAATTTCATTCAAACATCTGGCTTTTTCTTTTTTTTAATCATATATTTATGTACTCCCTAAAATGTTTTGAAACAATTTTGGTCAAATAGACTTAAAAAATGCAGCACAGTTATAATAAAAATGTTAAATTAATTCATGATTTTTGCAAGACTGTGAAGGTTACAATATCATTCTTAATTTAACAAAATTTAAAACTTTTCCACAGTTCCAGTGACAAATTATGTAATGATGCATTACAGACATTTTGGGATTTTGATATAAGACAAAGTATAGTACACATCAATTTGATATCAAAATTTAAAAAGGCTAATAACAGCCCAGCATAAATAGTCTTCACTTTTGAATATGAATGATTTCAAAGGTTATACATATATTGAAACATAAGTTATTATTTGAAGAATCTTCATAATCACAAATAAATGTATTGTATTAACAGACACATACTCAGCAAGAATTTAGATTCTGCAATGCCTTCAAAACAGATTAAAGTAAGTCATTTCACTCCTTGAGTTGCTATTATTGCAAGCTTATCCTAATAACTTTTAACTAGTTTCTGGTATTGGTTAAATGTATATACAATAACACAACTAAAATAAGGATGAAAATGGTTGTAGAGCAAAGAATAGATGATCATAACACAAAGGCTGTAGATAAGGCTGTGCTATCTATTAAGACTAGAGATGTAGATCTACTGTACACAAAAACTAAGGAAAGCAGTGCATTATTCACTGTGTAAGACTGAAGTCCAGATGACTGAATTAAACGCTACAAGTATATCTATCAGCTCTTCCACTTACCTTCTCACAAAAGATGCTGCAGTTTCCACAAAACTTGTTAAACACTGAGCTTCATCTTCGGATATGGGAGCTAAATGGAGTGTTCTTAATGATCCTGCAGATCTTTGTTTTTCTTGCCATATCTTTTGTATTGACTCAGAATGCTATACAGAAATATAAGAAGCCAGTTATTCATCTGTTGAATCCCAATGGTTTTAATTATCATAAAACTAGTTTGGAAATGTGACTGTTTATGTCTAATTTAAAAAAATTCACTTAATAAAGAGCTAACAATATAGAAGAAAAATGGTGTTGTGATACATGAAACTAAAAAAAAAAGAATTTAATAAACAAATTTTAATGCCAATCCAATTCTCCTAATGTTTTAGCTTTATTTTTACAAACACACAATGCACTATTCTGTTTGGAAACAGCATTTAGTTTCTGTTTTATAAACAATGTATATATGGCATACCCTGTTACGGCACAATACTTGAGTTCTATTTTTATGAACAATACAGATGTAACCAGGAGGCTGGATCCATGCTTCCCCATCCACTTGCACTGGTACACCTTCATCTCCAATGATGGAAATTCTCACTGAACGACACTATAAAAAATTAAGACACCTTTATTTTCATCATAGGATTTTGTTTTCACATTTTGATGTGGGTGTTCGTAACACCACCACTCTAAAGAAAATAAAAAACCTCTCCAATTAGAAAACAATTTTCATGTTGTAAAATAATTAAAGGTCAGCATGACAAATTGTCAAGTAAAGCATGTTATTTTATCACATACTGGGGATTTCCTTTGAATGTTACAACTCATAAAATTCTGAATTAAATTAAACCACAATTCATGGTAATATATCAACACTGCAAAATTACCTGAAGAATATGAAAAAAAAAAAACTTGTTCTCTGGAATTATTCTAACCTGTGCAATCCTGTGGTGCTGTAGGTTCATCACTCTTGAAGCAGCCATCTGTACAGTTCCAAAAACTGCAACAACTTCCAAAATTTTATCATCAAAAGCTGGAGCATAAAACACCTATGTAAAAAACACAGATAATTAGTATTTGGCTTCTTTTTTCTGAGAATTATGCACTCAGCTCTGTGAAACGTTTTATGCAGGTAACATTTAGTACTTACAGTTATGCATGATAGAACCTATGGCATTACTCTGATTACAATGTGTCTTAAAACTTAAAAACTACTGTGGCATTCCACCTCATCAATGCATCATAATCAATTGAATTCACAAAAATCAGAAGACATGCAAGTCTACTGACCCCCTTGTTATTCTGTAACTTTTAATTAGCAATCAAAACAGATGTTGTAATTTACATTAGTAAAATTAAAATTAGCTTCACACACAAAATTTTAAGTTTGCTGTTAATTGAACATCAAAGAAAAGACAGAAATCTATAGTTCAGAGACTGATAAAGTGCCAATCCCACAAGATATATATACACATACAGTGAAACCCCGATTTTACGAACCTCGATTTAACACAAATTCAGATATAACGCGATGGGTCATTAACTCTTTTGACACAGGCTCGGTCTCTGAGACCGACCTCATAACCATAACCTCG